ACATGCTGAATTTAGGAAAATTCAACATTTTCCACAAGGTGAGCACACACACGCTCACGCGCGCGTACACACACACACACACACACACACACACACACACACACACACACACACACACACACACACACACACACACACACAAACACACACAAGAAACAAGTGTATATTTAACAACCAGCACGGTTTCAGGGAAGGAAAATCCTGTGTCACAAACCTACTGGAGTTTTATGACAAGGTGACAGAAGTAAGACAAGAGAGAGGGGTGGATCGACTGCATTTTTTTTGGACTGCAAGAAGGCTTTCGACACAGTTCCTCACAAGAGGTTACTGCAAAAGCTAGAGGATCAGGCACACATAACACCATGGACCACCAGTGGTCTATGGACCACCAGTTGAGAACCACTGCACTAGAGCGTAACGTTGTCAATAAAGGATCGCATTATATTGCATTTGTCTTTTTTTTCTCCAAGCCACTAGAGTATTGGATGGAAAAAGACTAGCTAGTTTTTTCCCCTCACATAGTATCTTAGGCATACATTCTACAATTTTCTCACTGAAGGAATCTGTTTGTTCCGTGTGGGTTTAGTGCCCCCACCATGACTGTAATAACAAAATGTAATTTTTCATGAATAAAAACAACTGTTAAATATGTTAGCGCAGTTAATTAACACATCCGTCCCCTTGATGCCCAACATAGCCTAAGAGGATGCATTATATTGTACTTTTCCCAGTGTATAGATAATTATTAATGTTTGTTGTCTGCGGTCAGAATGTGAGACCATCGAAGATTTATGTCGTGTGGGGAACGAAGAGTTGGTTGGTAAAGTTAACAGTTCTCTCCTCATTTACACACTCTATTTCATCATTCTTCATAAAAAGGTAATATTCTTGTGGAAACAAAAGAGTTTCCCTTTATTAGTCTTTCATAGGCGCTCATCCGCTTGTTCTCTGTGATATATCATGACGTTTTATTGAATAAACTCAAAAGAAATTTTAATTTTTGTTAATCTGGTCGTCATAATAATTTGGCCTTTTCATTATCTTACGCAATTGGGTTAACCCTTTTATATATCAACAGGAATTTCAAAAGATGCGTCTGCCAACCTTGGTTGAGATGCTACCCCATAAGTTTGTACCAACAAATTACCTCGCCATGCCCCGGGGTCACAAGAATCACGGCTCAACAATAGTAAGCATCAATCGCCATAAAGCATTTTGCACTAGGATTATATTTTTTATTATATTAGTGCTTTAAGGATTCACTTTAAACCTGAATAGTTTAAATTGTGAAGATTAATTTAGCCTTCTTTCATCATTACAAATGGCGTATCTGTAATTTTTAGTGTTACATGTAAGCCATACTGTGAAAATTATACTTATTATTATTATTATTATTATTATTATTATTATTATTATTATTATTATTATTATTATGTGAGCATATCACCTGCAGGAAGCTTACAGGGTATTACCTGAATTATTACCTGCAAGTAATTTGGGTGAGGTAAGTGGGACTTAAGTCACAGCAGGTCGCAGGACTGTCACTCCCTCGTTACCTACTCCATACCACTCTCACAAAAAAGCTAGACCTGACATTAAACTAACAATTATAATATTAAAACCAGCTACTCTGGTAAATTAAAGTTGTAAACTGTATATAATTAGGCTTGCTGGGTACACAAAATATAGCTGGTATTAACACTTACCATTTAATTACTGTAGATGGATCACATCACAACACCTGCCTAACACCTAGACCCTACACTGGCCAGCTAGAGATCTAAATGCAAGGACTAATGGTACACTGCCCCATGAGTGATGTTCACATCCCTTATCTTTCGCCATTCTCCTGTAATTCTTGAGGTCCCGCAAATTTCCTGTCCCAATTCTTCAGCAGAGGACATTAACATGGGTTCCTATTACAAAGTCAGGCCAAAACACCCTAATTTGGCCTCGGAAGACTCCAAATTATTAGCAGAATTTCCCACAACAACCAGTGTTCACAAATTACAAATGGCGTCCTCCTGTCTGCGTCACTCAACAGCTGTTCTATATCCCCCTCACTCGAAATTTCTCAATAGGGTCAAATCAGCATCATATTTTATTACACAATTACTGTTTTATTCAAATTTACACATGCTGAATTTAGGAAAATCCAAAATTTTCCACACATACAGCGATCACAAATGATATTGATTTAACCAATAATACCCAAAGAAACAATAAATGTTCATAATTTACAAAAAAATTCATTTTGGGTTTTCATAACACATTATGAGTTACCTATGAATTGTTTCAGCAATTGTATTTGTACTTATATTCTTCAGTGACAGGCTTATAGTATTTCCATTTGGCAACATCAAGATTTTTTAAATCAGTTATTGAACCCAGAAAGAGACAGCATGGAACATTGCTACCGCCTCAGGCAGTAAATACCCCATGAATAGTAATACCTCTGAGGTACTTACTGCCTCAGGCAGTAAATACCTCAGAGAATAGTATATGTAATTAGGTATGCTTAGACAAGAGAACCTAAACTGCTTGTAGGATTGCTTTTCCTTTCTTCAAAATTCCTATTTATTACTTGAGAACCCCTTATCGGATCGGTTTCTAATTTTTGATGCTGGCATACCGCCCTTTGATCATTTTATAAACCCAAAAATTGATTTAGGTGTCTGCGATGAATTGTGAAACTCTTCCGATCAGTTTCAAACATGAAATGCCACAATGTTTATCCCTATCTTCAGGAGTATATATACGGAGAGGTTTATAACTCTGTGTACTTTAACTCACTTTACTGAAAGTGGAACATTCTTGAACAGTAATGAACACGTTTTTGTGTTTACCTCCAAACATTAACCCATTACTAATAAATATAATTTACTAAATGTGATCTTGGGATACAACTAAAAGAACACCAGAAAGACATTGAATAAAATCGTCTATGGTGGAAAATTTACAAATATGGAAGCAAGCAGATATTATCACTCAAAATCATCACGCATTGTGTCCATTGATTAACGGCTTGCATCTTCCACTCGTTTAATGATTGTTGACCCCCAGTAGCTGCCACTATCTCAATTTCTTTCTGTAACTGATGTATAAAGGAAATTTCCGTCACCAATGTTAAATAAGTTAGCAAAAATCATTCCCATATTTCCATATTTTCAGTTTAGGAATCGTTGTAATCGGCTAGTAATGGCGTGGATGTCTATATGGAGTCAGTTTCGCAAAGATGCAGATGCAATATTTAACACTGGACAGACATGTAATAGTAAACTACAGGCCAGTAGTAAACTACAGGCCAATAGTAAACAACAGGCCAGTAGTAAACTACAGGCCAATAGTAAACTACAGGCCAGTAGTAAACTACAGGCCAGTAGTAAACTACAGGCCAATAGTAAACTACAGGCCAATAGTAAACTACAGGCCAGTAGTAAACTACAGGCCAATAGTAAACTACAGGCCAATAGTAAACTACAGGCAATCATCAATTCTCTGGATAAAGAACCCTTCACTGGTGTCAAGGCTCTTGAAGCTTCTGAAGCCGTCGTAGCTAATGAACCCAAAGTGGAATACTTGACTATTACTAATGTGTCCAATGTTTCCACTTAGGAAGATACATCAACATTGAAAGTTTGAAGCCTTTCAGAAAAGACGTTCTTAAGTTATCCCACAGAGATAATTATTTCAGTTTGTTTAATAAATGATGAAACTGGCACAAATATAACCCAAACTGAATCCAAATCTTCCTCTAAGTAGTATTCACCAGTTTGAAAAACCGTTGGTAACCAGAAGACATTCTCCAGTTATTACCCTCCAGCCTCCCTCTCCTTATATAATAATAATAATAATAATAATAATAATAATAATAATAATAATAATAATAATAATAAATAATAATAATAATAATAATAATAATAATAATAATAATAATAATAATATTTTTATTTACTACAAATACAAGGTATACAGGCCTTGCTGACATCAGTGACATACTACTATATAGAAAGCCACTTGTTATGTTGAGTATTTTAGGCAAATTAGGTCAGTTTTGTCCCAGGATGCGACCCACACCAGTCCACTAACACCCAGGTACCCATTTTAAACTGATGGGTGAACAGGGACAAGGACAGCAGGTGTCTTATGGAAACACGTCCCTAATGTTTTCTAGCCATACCGGAGGAGATTCGAACCCCGGAGCTTAGTGTGTGAGCTGAGTGCGCCAGCGATCGAGCTACGGGACACTTTGTAGCCTCGCTGGCCCTGTCATTTTATTAAAATTATGTATGGAGCCTCCACTGCTTCTTCGCCCAGGTTGTGCCACTTCTGACTACCCTGAGGCTGAAAAATGTTTCCTGACACTCCTGTGACTCATCTATGTCTGCCTGTCAGTCATGCTGTAGAATTTTTTTACATAATTTCCTAAATGTAGAACATATAAATGAATTATATAATAATTGTGTATTAACATGTGATGCTATTTGGACCCTTCGAGAAATTTTGAGTGAGGAGGATGGAGAAGAGCTGGGGGAGTGACGCCGCAGGAGACGCCATATTGAATTTAATGTGTGAACACTGAACTGAATTGTGCAATGTAATCAGGCATTCTCAATCTGTAATTTAGAAATTACTGACACATGCTTTCCTGTACTCGTTTCCCGCGGGTAATGGGGTTTACAACCAATCGACGATTGGTTAATAGGCTGAACCTAACATTTTCTCCTCCAGTTTAGAATACTCTAATCTCTAAATAAGGTATAATAAATTCTCAGTAAATATACGCTAATAAAAGTATACCACTCATGGTATATATCCTGTCTCTCATGTCCTTTGTGTCCACTGAATTTTAGATTATGAACACCTTCAGGTAGAGACTAAATTACTGTATATAAAAAAAATTGACAAACTGGCAGTTAACAACCTTGTGCATCAAAAAATGCTGCAAATAAAAATTACAAATATTAAATATCACTTGTATTTCTTTATTTGAAATGACGATGAAGCTAGACTATGGACTAGATTTTGCAACCACCAATGTGAAGCCTGAACACCGGGTATCATACTGGAGGGAGGACTATGGCATCAACTCCCATCACTGGCACTGGCACCTCGTCTACCCTGAGCAGAGTCCGGGCGGTGAAGCCAAGGACCGTAAAGGTGAACTCTTCTACTACATGCATCAGCAGATGATTGCTAGGTAAGACGTTTACTATCTACATTCACTAATAAACGTATATGGCAACACAATAAACACTTTCTGTCTGAATATCTCTTCCTAAACGCATCATGAATGTCACATGTTAAGCTGTTTGGAAAACCAACTTATATAATGTAACAAAATAAAGATTTTTTTTTTTTTTTTTTTAGAAATTTTGTAAAGTTGTGAATTTTGTGGTAATTGTACCTTGTTCAGCTAACTATAGTCTCCTTGCACCAGATACGACATGGAACGGCTTAGTGTTGGTCTAAATCGCGTTGAAAAGTTATCGAACTGGCGCGTGCCCATCACAGATGGTTACTTCCCCAAACTCTACGCTAACAACTCTGGCAAAGCTTGGGGCACCCGCCAGGACGACTCTCTCATGGAGGTAATAAGAATAAGAATAATCTTTATTTCTACAAGTACATGATACATCTTATACAGACCATAGTTGACATCAGTAACGCACCTTGTTATGCAGAGCATTACGGGCCAATTAACTTTTGTCTCTCAGGATGCTTCCTACACCAGTCGACTAACACCCAGGTACCTATTTACTGCTAGGTGAACAGTGACAGCAGGTGTCTTAGGGAAACACGCCCAATGTTTCCACCCCTACCGGAGATCGAGCCATGGACCTAAATGTGTGAACTGACTGCTGTACACGTAGTATCAGCTCAAACTGACGTGTGTGAACATGATTTTAAGAAATTTGAGGCTACCGTAATTGAGATAAAAATAGAGAAATACAAAATTAGTAATAATGTTTAAGGAACATTGAATATTTTTGAAAGCATAACAACATTTTTATATAAATTTCTTAGAAGTGTGTTCAATTTTTTTATTGCCAACGTGTATGCAAGGGAATTTTCCCTCATGTTCAAATGAACATTTTTATCTTTGTTAGCAAATATTATGTAAAATGTCTTGTCGGTATTGAAACTTTTTTAGTTGTCATAAACACACACACACACACACACACACACACACACACACACACATTGGAAACTTAGATGATTCACAGGGATGTTAGGAAGTATTTCTTCAGTCATAGAGTTGTCAGAAAGTGGAACAATCTGGAGAGTGATGTAGTGGAAGTAGGATCCATACATAGCTTTAAGAAGAGGTTCGGTAAAGCTCTTGGAAAAGGGAGAGGACCTACAAGCAACCAGCGAAGAGGCGGGGATAGAAGTTATGAATCGACCCCCTGCAATCACAAATAGGTGAGAACATACATGTACATACATACATACATACATACATACATACACACACACACACACACACACACACACACACACACACACACACACACAAACACACACACACACACACACACACACACAGTGCGACCAGTCAACCCTAGTAGCGACCAGTGAAGAGGCGGGGCCAGGAGCTAGGACTCGACCCCTGCAACCTCAACTAGGTGAGTACACACACACATGACACACAGTAGGGACACCACGTGCGCGAGTCACGCCTTCAGTGCTCCGCGAATATAAGTGTTTTTGAGGGCTACCTAAGTGTACTGCAAGGGTCGCTAAGTGTGTCAGGGTAGTGAGCAATTCTTGAGGCAGTTTACAATATGCCCTGAGCCACATAAGTGTGGGGAGAGCCACAATTTTATAAGTGAACTAGAAAGTGATACTTGGTAGCGAATTCAGAGTGGGCAGGCCTACTGTGCTCCAGGCGACGTTGCCACGTGTCACCCAAGAAAGATAATAAAGTGAAACAAATGTGTGACCAGTGAAAGAAATACAGTGAATAGGGTACATTATATATCGAGAAGAAATGGAGGTGGATCTACGCCAGGACGTCACATCGAGCTGGACAATCTACAGGCTGCTACAGGCTGCATTGCAATACTGTATTCACCTATGCATGGTTGTTGGGTGTGAGTTTTGATTTCCAATTAACCGCCAAGCTGATTGTGAACGGTCCAACTCTCCTAGTACGATAAAGAATAGGCGATCAAGCATTCAATAAGGAATAGTAATTGGTAATTTATGGAACGAGGTGAGACAGGTTTCTATAAGATTAGGTGGTAGTAAAAGCATTGAGGTGCAGAATAGTAGGTAGGTGTGGGTCAGGTCACAGGAGGGTGTGACCAGGTAAGGGAACACTGCAAACTGCACATAACACTCCAACACACAATTCCACCTACTTTTCAGACACTTAATAAACCCACATATAGTTCCATACACACACACACACACACACACACACGCACATGCACACACACGCACACACATAGTTGAGCTTCAAGTGGAGAGAGTAGCAGGAATAGGATGGGAAAACCAAACTACAAAAGGGGGGACTACTCAGGCATGAGGAACTTCCTGCAAGACATTTAGTGGGAGAGGGAACTGACAGGAAAACCAATAAAAGAAATGATGGACTATGTGATAACAAAATGCAAAGAGGCAGAAGAGAGGTTTCTTCCCAAGGGAAACAGAAATAATGGGAAGACCAGAATGAGGCCTTAGTTCACCCAAAGGTGTAGGGAGGCAAAAACTAGGTGTACTAAAGAATGGAAAAGGTACAGAAGACAAAGAACTCAGGAAAATAGATTAACTGAAGAACCAGAAACGAATATGCACGGATAAGAAAGGAGGCTCAGCGATAATACGAAAATGACATACATCGAAAGTCAGATCTGACCAAAGTTGTTGTATAGCTACATCAGGAGGAAAACAACAGTCAAGGACCAGGTAATTAGACTGAGGAAGGATGATGGGGAGTTCACAAGAAATGACAAGAGGTATGTGAGGAGCTAAACACGAGATTTAAAGAAGTATTTACAGTGGAAACCGGTAGGACTCCAGGAAATTAGAACAGGGGGGTACACCAACAAGTGCTGGATGAGGTACACATAATCTAGGAGGAGGAAAAGTAGTTGCTATGGGAACCTGGCACCTCAAAGGCGGTGGGACCAGACATCTCTCCGTGGGTCCTTAGAGAGGGAGCAGAGATGCTGTGTGTGCCACTAACAAAGATCTTCAACACATCCATTGAAACTGGGCAACTCCCTAAGGTATGGAAGATGGCAAATGCAGTCTCAATTTAAAAAAAAAAGAGACAGACATGAGGCATTAAACTACAGACCTGTGTCACTAATGTGTATAGTATGCAAAGTCATGAAGATCATCAGGAGGAGAGTGGTGGAGCACCTGGAAAGAAAAAAGTGTATAATCGACAACCAGCACGGTTTTAGGGAAGGCAAATCCTGTCACAAACCTACTGGAGTTTTATGACAAGGTGACAGAAGTAAGACAAGAGAGAGAGGGGTGGATAGACTGCATTTTCTTGGACTGCAAGAAGGCCTTCGACACAGTTCCTCACAAGAGGTTACTGCAAAAGCTAGAGGATCAGGCACACATAACAGGAAAAGCACTGCAATGGATCAGAGAATACCTGACAGGGAGGCAACAATGAGTCATGGTACATGACGAGGTGTCGGAGTGGGCGCCTGTGACAAGCGGAGTTCCACAGGGGTCAGTCCTAGGACCTGTGCTGTTTTTGGTATATGTGACTGACATGACGGAAGGGATAGACTCAGAAGTATCCTTGTTTGCAGATGATGTGAAGTTAATGTGGAGAATTAAATCGGTCGAGGATCAGGCAGGACTACAAAGAGAACTGGAAAGGCTACAAGCCTGGTCCAGCAACTGGCTCCTTGAATTTAACCCTGCCAAACGCAAAGTTATGAAGATTGGGGAAGGGCAAAGAAGACCGCAGACACAGTATAGTCTAGGTGGCCAAAGACTGCAAACCTCACTCAAGGAAAAAGATCTTGGGGTGAGTATAACGCCGAGCAGATCTCCTGAGGTGCGCATCGATCAGATAACTGCTGCAGCGTACGGGCATCTGCCAAACCTAAGGATAGCGTTTCGATACCTCAGTAAGGTATCGTTCAAGACCATTTACGTCAGGCCCATACTGGAGTATGCAGCACCAGTTTGGAATCCACACCTGGTCAAGCACGTCAAGAAATTAGAGAACGTGCAAAGGTTTTGAACAAGACTAGTCCCAAAGCTAAGGGGATTGTCCTATGAAGAAGGGTTAAGGGAAATCGGCCTGACGACACTGGAGGACAAGAGGGTCAGGGGAGACATGATAACGACATATACTGCGCAGAATAGACAAGGTGGACAAAGACGGAATGTTCCAGAGATGGGACACAGAAACAAGAGGTCACAATTGTAAGTTGAAGACTCAGACGAGTCAAAGGGATGTTAGGAAGTATTTCTTCAGTCATAGAGTTGTCAGGCAGTGGAATAGCCTAGAAAGTGCTGTAGTGCAGGCGGGAACCATACATAGTTTTAAGACGAGGTTTGATAAAGCTCATGGAGCAGGGAGAGAGAGGACCCAGTAGCAATCAGTGAAGAGGCGGGGCCAGGAGCTATGAATCGACCCCTGCAAACACAAATAGGTGAGTACAAATAAGTAAGTACACGCACACACACACACACACACACACACACACACACACCACACACACACACACACACACACATACACATACACACACACACTCACAGTACACAGTATACACAACCGAGGAAGAAGTGAAGAGGCTTCTGAGTGAGCTAGATACCTCAAAGGCAATGGGGCCAGATAACATCTCTCCATGGGTCCTGAGAGAGGGAGCAGAGGTGCTATGTGTACCCCTAACAACAATATTCAATACATCTATCGAAACAGGGAGATTACCTGAGGCATGGAAGACAGCAAATGTAGTCCCAATCTTTAAAAAAGGAGACAGACATGAAGCACTAAACTACAGACCAGTGTCACTGACATGTATTGTATGCAAAGTCATGTAGAAGATTATCAGGAGAAGAGTGGTGGAACACCTAGAAAGGAATGATTTCATCAACAGCAGCCAACATGGTTTCAGGGACGGGAAATCCTGTGTCACAAACTTACTGGAGTTCTTTGACATGGTGACAGCAGTAAGACAAGAGAGAGAGGGGTGGGTGGATTGCATTTTCTTGGACTGCAAGAAGGCGTTTGACACAGTTCTACACAAGAGATTAGTGCAAAAACTGAAGGACCAAGCAGGGGTAACAGGGAACGCACTACAATGGATCAGGGAATACTTGTCAGGAAGACAGCAGCGAGTCATGGTACGTGGCGAGGTGTCAGAGTGGGCACCTGTGACCAGCGGGGTCCCACATGGGTCGGTCCTAGGACCAGTGCTGTTTCTGGTATTTGTGAACGACATGACGGAAGGAATAGACTCCAAAGTGTCCCTATTTGCAGATGACGTGAAGTTGATGAGAAGAATTCATTCGATCGAAGACCAGGCAGAACTACAAAGAGATCTGGACAGGCTGCAGACCTGGTCCAGCAATTGGCTCCTGGAGTTCAATCCCACCAAGTGCAAAGTCATGAAGATTGGGGAAGGGCAAAGAAGACCGCAGACGGAATACAGTCTAAGGGGCCAGAGACTACAAACCTCACTCAAGGAAAAAGATCTTGGGGTGAGTATAACACCAGGCACATCTCCTGAAGTGCACATCAACCAAATAACTGCTGCTGCATATGGGCACCTAGCAAACCTCAGAACAGCATTCCGACATCTTAATAAGGAATCGTTCAGGACCCTGTACACCGTGTACGTTAGACTCGTATTGGAGAATGCGGCACCAGTCTGGAACCCACACCTAGCCAAGCACATAAACTAGAGAAAGTGCAAAGGTTTGCAACAAGACTAGTCCCAGAGCTAAGAGGTATGTCCTACGAGGAGAGGTTAAGGGAAATCAACCTGATGACACTGGAGGACAGGAGAGACAGGGGGGACATGATAACGACATACAAAATATTTGAGAGGAATTGACAAGGTGGACAAAAACAGGATGTTCCAGAGATGGGACACAGCAACAAGGGGACACAGTTGGAAGTTGAAGACACAGATGAATCACAGGGATGTTAGGAAGTATTTCTTCAGCCACAGAGTAGTCAGGAAGTGGAAGCGATGTAGTGGAGGCAGGATCCATACATAGCTTTAAGCAGAGGTATGATAAAGCTCACGGTTCAGGGAGAATGACCTAGCAGCAACCAGTGAAGAGGCGGGGCCAGGAGCTTGGACTCGACCCCTGCAACCTCAACTAGGTGAGTACAACTAGATGAGTACAAACACACACACACACACACACACAAAACAAACACTAAAAAAATGGGACACCAAAGAGGAGGATGAAAAGCCAGGGAAACCAAGAAAGATTGGTCTGGAAAGGAAGAATGGGTGGAAGAGCTAAGGAGAAGGATGGAGTAAGAATGGGAAAGGAAGCTGAGAGAACATACCAATAAAATAGAGGAGAGGATGGTCCAGAAATTAAGAAGTGTGAGCTGCAAGCTGAAGTTGCAGAGGCCAGGATAAAGAGACTAGATGATGAACTGAGAAACGTTAAACAGAATATAGACAACAAACAGAGGGGCTTGGAATCAGGAGCAGGTACACCAGTATCCAGAAGGGGGACTGTAGTAAGGAAGGGGATAAGACCTACATAGAGGCCTTATCAAGCCAGGAAATGTTGAGGAGAGAAAATAGCACACTGTTGGGTACAGGGACAATGATAAGTGAGGGAATTGTAGGTAGGGATAGTGATAGACTACCTGTGGAGACACTGTCAGGCCACCAAGAGATACAGGAAATGATAAGGGAAGCAGCAGTGGCAATCCTTCAACTGGATCCAGAGATGCAGAGGGAAAAGCAATGGGTAGAGGAGGGGAAGAGGGCAGTTTTTTCCATGAGCGTCAGGAGACTGAAAGAGGGACATATGAAGATGACAGGAAGAGGAAAAAGAGATTGAAAATATCACCAAACAGGAGAGGACATGACTGAGCTGATAAATTTTCAGAGAATCAGGGAATACTCAAGGAAGGGAAAAATCAACCAGTCAAATTGGTTTTCAGAACAGAAACAGTGCAAAACAGGATCCTGCAGTGGAAACCATGGTTAATGAAAACAACAAAATACAAGAAGGTATTCCTCGAATACAACAGAACGTGTACAGAATGGCAGAAACTGAGGGGATACAAAAGTGAAAGGAGCAAGAAAGCGAGACAAGGCTAGAGACAGGCAGGAGCTCCCACAGTTAGGAGGATCAGTAAACACATCTACTCAAAGAACCACCAACAGAACACCCCAACTAAACAATCTAATCCAAATCAAACCACACTCTGCACTCACAGACCACCCCAGCACAAACCCCCACTTACACAGCAGCATCCCATGCCATGCCAGGTCTTCCTCCATTTCCCCAGCCCCTACAAACCCCCCAGAATACAATCCTGGAAAAGAAGCTGAAGGTATGGTACACTAATGCAGATGGAATAATGAATATGTATGAGTGGCACAAAAGAATCACGGAGTCATCCCCAGACATCATAGCACTCATGGAAACCATGCTGACGGGAATGATAATAGATGCAATCTTTCCAAACAGATATCAGATCATGAGGAAACACAGAGGTGGAGGAGTTACACTACTCATCAGAAACTCTGGACTACAAATTCGTAAAACTCTCAAAAACATTGATGAGAAAACAGACAGTTTAACTCTATCTTGATGGGAAGAATAATAGTGGACATAGGAACAGTTATTTGTAGGTTTTCTGTAAATTTTAAATTTTAATTCACTATTACCCTTAATAATTAAAACATCTAGAAAAGGCAATGAGTTATTTTCTTCAAATTCTAGATGTTTTAATTATTAAGGGTAATAATGAATTCAAATTTAAAATTTACAGAAAACCTACAAATAACTGTTCCTATGTCCACTATTATTCTTCCCATCAAGATAGAGTTAAACTGTCTGTTTTCTCATCAATGTTTTTGAGAGCTTTACGAATTTGTAGTCCTGTGTTCATAGATGAGGAAATATCCAAAATTTATGAAACAGGTAATGATTTGAAATACCCAAGAAATGTAATTGATAAATCTTTTAAAGTTGCTAGAAATACTTTTTACAATCCAAAAAGGGACAACCAGCCTTATTCAATTAAAAATATTTTGGTTCTCCCTTACCATGAAAACTTGGTTGATATGCCTTCTCTTCTTAAGACTTTTAATATTAAAGTTGTATTAAAAAATCTTGATACAGTAAAAAAAACTTTTGATAAAGAATTCCCCCCAAAATGCTGATGGATGTGTCTATAAGATTCCTTGTAAAATTTGCGATAAAGTTTATTACGGTCAAACTGGTAAATATCTCTAACTAAGATTAAGTTAGTTAGATTAATATGTTTATTATGCACCCCATACCCATCCTGTGGGCGGTAGTCAAAAGATTACAGAGGTACATAATTGGTCCAGGGACTGGACTCTAAAGTTTTGATAGCTGAGCAAGTTACAATGGTAATGAACTAGATCTGGTCATAATCATGACCAAGTTACAAAGGTAATGAGCTCCAGGTAGAGCTGGTCACACTCATGAATAATTGCAAAGGTAATGAATCATAAACACATTAATCATGAGAATTTACAAAGGTAATGAGCTCCGGGTAGAGCTGGTCAAAATCATGACAAGTTTCAAAGGTAATGAATGATAAACACGTTATCACATGATTACAATCATAGACAAATTACAGAGTAATGAGCAGTTAACAAACATAGTAGGGAATTCATCCAATGCCCCAACAACAGATGTTGCTAGGTGCCTGTCTCTCCTCGGTAGACAGCCATTGCAAACAGCAGCAAGTTGCCCTGGGATCTGCTGCTTGCACGAGCACCATCGACCCTCCCCAAGAGGTCCAAGAATCCAGTGACTCCGTTAGCAGCCCGATGCAGAGCTCCCCTAGGGACATGTCAGCGTCCTGGTGGACGCCAAGTTGATTGAAGATCCCAGGCCCTCGTGTGCACGGATGATTAAAACAACATAAATATAGCATTAGAACTGGACAAGATTCCAATGCTCTATTTATTCATGTAAGAGATTTTAACCATCCAACTGATTTTCAAAAAGTTGAGAAAGTAGTATCAAGCAAGTCCATGGTCGACAGGAATATAATTGAATCTTGTTTCATAAAAAGCAGTTTTGACAATAATATGAATATTTCCCTTGGTTTATATAAATTAGATCCATTTATAATTAATAAAATTTGGGAAGAATTTAATAATACATTGGACAAATAATAATTTTTTAAATTTGTTATTTCTTGGGTAGATTAATTTGTTGGTGGGTTATGTGAAGGACCTGTCTAGTTCGGCCGGCGGGCCTGCTGTCTCACGTCAGGTGTTTCTTTGTTGTGGGATCTGATAGTGAGGTGTGGGCTACCCCTTTATATACCTTCCTTTGATGTTTTACTTTCATTGTTCCTTGATAATGTGAGTAGTCACGAAAGCGCTTGGAATTTCTCTATTCTTTCACAGTGGTTGTTTTGCATATTCTGAAATCACCTGTTTACTGTGATCTTATTGCATATATATATATATATTATATATATATATATATATATATATATATATATATATATATATAGATATATATATATATATAGATATATATATATATATATATATATATATATATATATATATATATATATATATATATATATATATATATATATATATATATATATATATATATATATATATATATATATATTATAATTTATTTAAAGAACTTGAGACGACCTGACATTGAGAACGATATAGACATCGAAGACTTGGAATCCTGGCGAAATCGACTGAGGGATGCCATCGACAGAGGCCTCATGATTGAGGTAGGTATCCAAGCCTTTCTTAACATATTTTTTTTAACCGATGAATAAGGATGAATTATATACATATATATATATATATATATATATATATATATATATATATATATATATATATATATATATATATATATTATATATATATATATATATATTTATACATACATATATATGCAGTAGTAGGTTGGTAGACAGCAACCGCCCAGGAGGTATTACCGTACTGCCAAGTGAGTTTAAAATGGAATCTTGTATTTGTTTTACATGATGGTAGAATTGCTGGTGTCTTTTTTCTATCTCATAAAAATACAAGATTTCGGTTATATCTTGCTACTTTTATTTAGACTTAAGTCACACCACACATACATGTACACATTTATGTATGCACATTCATCTGAGTTTTCTTTGATTTTATCTTAATAGGTCTTGTTCTTATTACTTTTCCTTTCATATCCATGGGGAAGTGGAATAAGATTTTTTCCTCCATAAGTCATGCGTGTTGTAAAACTCAACTAAAATGCCGGGAACAATGGGCTAGTAACACCTTTTCCCATATAACTTACTAAAAAGAAAAAGAAGAAAACCGTCAAAGTGGGATGTTTGAATGTGCGTGGATGTTGTGCGAATGATAAGAAAGAGATGATTGTGGATGTTATGAATCAAAAGAAGTTGGATGACCTGGCTCTAAGTGGAACAAAGCTGAAGGGGGTGTGACAGTTTCAGTCGGGAGAAATAAACGAGATTAGGTCAGGGGTTTCTAATAGAGTTAAAGCTAAGGAGAGAGTAGCAATAATGTTGAAGAATAACTTATGGCAGGAAAAGAAGGAATACAAATGAATAACTTCAAGGATTATGTGGAGTAAAATAAGGGTTGGATGTGAAAAGTGGGTTATAGTAAGTGTTTATGCACCTGGAGAAGAGAGAAGTGTAGAGGAGAGAGAGAGGGGGATTTTGTTAGATGTTAAGCACGTGTGTAGGAACTTTTGAACCAAGTGAGAGAGTGCTTGTGGTTGGGATCTCAATGCTCGAGCAGGTAAAAAAAAGTTGTGGAGGGAGCAGCAGGTAAATTTAGGGTGCCAGGGGTAAATATAAATGCGGAACCTTTAATTGAACTATGTGTAAAAAGAGGTTTGGTAATAATACAGATTTTAAGATATTGAGAATAAATAAGTATACAATATATGATATAGCACATAATGAAAGTAGTTTGTTAGAAAATAAGAAAAAGTTTTTGAGTGAGATTAATCAGTTGAGATTTATAAGCTGTGATTTCGTGTATAGGGCAAGGAGGAATAGCATCTTATAAGAGTGAGGAAGAACCAGTTGTGAGTGTGGGGTAAGTGCTTGGGGCAGTGGGTAAAATGAAAGGGGGTAAAGCAGCTGAGATTGATGGGATAAAGATCTAAATGTTAAAAGCAGGTGAGGATATAGTTTTCGAGTGCTTAATGTTTTTATTTAATAAATGTATGGAAGAGGGTAAGGTACCTAGGGACGTTCATATAGCATACATAGTCCCTTTGTATAAAGGCAAAGGATACAAAAGAGAGTGTAAAAATTATAGGGGAATAAGTCTTTTGAGTATACCTGGTAAAGTGTATTGTAGATTTATTATTGACAGAATTAAGAGTAAGACGGAGAGCAGGATAACAGATGAACAAGGAGGCTTTAGAAAAGGTAGGGGGTGTGTAGACCAAGTGTTTACAGTGAAACGTATAGGTGAACAGTATTAAGATAAGAGTAAAGAGATTTTTGTGGCATTTATGGATTTGGAAAAGGAGTGTGATAGGGTGGATAGGGAGGCAGTGTGGCAGATGTTGGAAATGTATGGAAGAGGAAGTAGGTTATTAAAAGCAGTGAAGAGTCTTTGCCAGGATAGTGAGGCTCAGGAATATATATATATATGTATATATATATATATATATATATATATATATATATATATATATATATATATATATATATATATATATATATATATATATGTATATATATATATATATATATATATATATATATATATATATATATATATATATATATGTATATATATATATATATATATATATATATATATATATAAATATATATATATATATATATATATATATATATATATATATATATATATATATATATATATATATATATATATATATACATAAACACGTTGGCCTCCCACTGAGTCAGGTGACCCAAAAAAAAAAGAAACTTTCACCATCATTTACACATAATCACTCTCTTTGCAGAGGTGCGCAGGTACGACGGTTTAGATGTCACTCCTAACAGGCATTGTACTTTCCACCTCCAGGACTCAAGTCCGGCTAACCAATTTCCCTGAATTCCTTCACAAAATATTACCTTGCTCACACTCGAACAGCTCATAAAGTCCCTAAACCATTCGTCTCCACTCCTAACATGCTCACACACACACACACACGCGAAAACAAACACGCACGCACGCGCACACGCACACGCACACATATAACACAAAGTATAAATAACAACCAGCACGGTTTCATGGAAGGCAAATCCTGTGTCACAAACCTTCTGGAGTTTTATGATAAAGTAACAGAAGTAAGAGACGAGAGAGAGGGGTGGGTTGATTGCATCTTCTTGGACTGCAAGAAGGCCTTCGACACAGTTCCTCACAAGAGATTAGTGCAGAAGCTAGAGGATCCGGCGCCTATAACGGGAAGGGTTTTCAATGGATCAGAGAATAACTGACAGGGAGGCAACAACGAGTCATGGTACGTGATGAGCTATCACAATGGGCACCTGTGACGAGCGGGGTCCCACAGGGGTCGGTCCTAGGACCAGTGCTATTTTTGGTACATGTGAATGACATGATGGAAGGGATAGACTCAGAAGGATGTGAAGTTAATGAGGAGAATTAAATCATATGAGAATCAGACAGACCTTCAAAGAGACCTGGACAGGCTGGACACCTGGTCCAGCAACTGGCTTCTCGAATTCAACCCTGCCAAATGCAGAGTCATGAAGATTGGAGAAGGGCAAAGAAGACCGCAGACGGAGTATAGGCTAGGTGGCCAATGACTGCAAACCTCACTCAAGGAGAAAGATCTTGGCGTGATTATAACACCAAACACGTCTCCAGAAGCACACATCAACCAGATAACTGCTGCAGCATATGGGTGCCTGGCAAACCTGAGATTAGCATTCCGATACCTAAGTAAGGAATCTTTCAAGACACTGTACACCATGTACGTCAGGCCCATAGTGGAGTATGCAGCACCAGTTTGGAACCCGTACCGGGTAAAGCACGTTAAGAAATTAGAGAAAGTGAAAAGGTTTGCGACAAGGTTAGTTCAAGAGCTAAGGGGAATGTCCTATGAAGAAAGGTTGAGGGAAATCGGCCTAACGACACTGGAGGACAGGAGGGATAGGGTAGACATGATAACGACATACAAAATACTGCGCGGAATAGACAAGGTGGACAGAGACAAGATGTTCCAGAGAGGGGACACAGAAACAAGGGGTCACTCTTAGAAGCTGAAGACTTAGATGAGTCACAGGGATGTTAGGAAGCATTTCTTCAGTTATAGAGTTGTCAGGAAGTGGAACAGTCTGGCGAGCGATGTAGTGGAGACAGGAACCATGCATAGCTTTAAGACGAGGTATGATAAAGCTCATGGAGTAGGGAGAGAGAGGACCAAGTAGCGTTCAGTGAGAAGACGAGGCCAGGAGCTGAGTCTTGACCCCTGCAACTACAATTAGGTGAGTACATATACAACAGTCCTAGTGTCTATTCGACATGTGCCTAGGCCAAAATGGTAGCTAACACACACACACACATACACACACACACACACACACACACACACACACACACACACACACACACACACACACACACACACACACACACACAACCTATCAGAGATGAGTACTTATGATACATAATTAAAGAGGTGCGTTTGACCTTCCCATACAGAGCGATGGAAATACAGTGATGCTCTCAGATAACCCAGAAACAGGAAAACGAGGTATTGACATCTTGGGCGACGCTGTAGAACCAGACAGGAATCTGAGTCCCAACTCAAAGTTCTACGGTGACCTTCATAACAAGGGCCACGTGATGATTTCCTACATTCATGACCCTGACTATGCACATAAGGTAAATTACTTTTTTATTCACTGGTAAATATTTTCATTATTACCGTTGATATTATTATTATTATTATTATTATTATTATTATTATTATTATTATTATTATTATTATTATTATTATTATTATTATTCAGGATTTGATGGGACGTTGCATAGCATCATAAGCTCCTGACAACATCTTATCCTAATATGTGCCAGTATCTATCTCGTTAACTGGTGCATTACTCTGTACATTAAAAAAATGAAGGGGTTAGAAGTTGGCACATAGGTGTTGCCAGCTTCTAACCCCGAGTCTTTGCCAGGTCAGCAGTGAGAACTTAATGCAAATGCGTGTCACGCTTTTAGTGTGAATTAACAAATCACAGAACGGGTGGGGTTTGAAACCATGACAAGTGAGTCTTAAACTCAGTCCAGTGCGTTTAAGGACTCGCTATGGCTCAAACCCCACCCGTTCCCTGATTTGCAGTCTGAATTGGCAGGCGTGAATCTGCTGAAAACGCTAATGAAGCAAATTCAAGGAAAACAGCACGAATATTAATTAATAAATTCAACTGCAAATGTCAATTAACCTTCAAAGATACTTGTAAAACAATAGTGGCGTATACAACAGGAGGAGATGGGAGTGATGGGGGACGTGATAACCGCCGTCAGGGATCCAGTTTTCTTCCGCTGGCACAAGTTTGTTGATGACATCTTCCAGAAGTACAAGATGACACAGCCACCATATACCGAGGAGGATGTAAGTGTGATGATACATGTAGCATGTCATTGTGGTGATACATGTAGCATGTCATTGTGGTGGTATATGTTGTATGGTGATACATGTGGTATGTCAGTGTATACCTGGAGAGGGTTTCGGGGGTCAACGCCCCCGCGGTTCGGTATGAGACCAGGCCTCACGGTAGATCAGGGTCTGATCAACCAGGCTGTTACTACTGGCCGCACGCAAGCTGACGTACGAACCACAGCCCGGTTGGTCAGGTACTGACTTTAGGTGCCTGTCCAGTGCCTTCTTAAAGACAGTCAGGGGTCTATTGGTAATCTCCCTTATGTAGGGTGGGAGGCAGTTGAACAGTCTTGGACCCCGGACACTTATTGTGTCGTCTCTCAATGTACTCGTTGCGCCCCTGCTTTTCATTGGGGGAATGTTGTATCTCCTGCCGAGTCTTTTGCTTTCATAGGGAATGATTGTCGTGTGCAGGTTTGGTACCAATCCCTCCAGAAGCTTCCAAGTGTATCTCTCTCTCCTGCATTCCAGGGAATACAGATCAAGGACCTTCAACCGTTCCCAGTAATTTAGGTGCCTTATCGTGCTTATATATGCCGCGAAAGTTCTTTGTACACTCTCCAGGCCTGCAATGTCGCCAGCCTTGAAAGGGGCCGTTAGTATACAGCTGTATTCCAGCCTAGAGAGCACAAGCGATTTGAAGAGAATCATCATGGGCTTGGCATCCCTAGTTTTGAAGGTTCTCATTATCCATCCTACCATTTTCCTAGCAGATGAGGTGGATACATTGTTGTGGTCTTTGAAGGCGAGGTCCTCTGACATTATCACTCCCAGATCATTCACATTACTTTTCCACTTTATTGTATGATTAGAATTTGTCGTATACCCTGATACATTTTAATTTCCTCAAGTTTTCCATATCTGTGTAGTTGAAATTTCTCCTCGTTGAACTTCATATTGTTTTGAGTATCCCATTCGAAGATTTGGTTCATGTCCACTTGGAGTCTCGCGGTGTCTTTGATGGAGGTCACTGCCATGGTGATCCGGGTGTCATCCGCAAAGGAAGACACGGAGCTATGACTTACATCTCTGTCTATGTCAGAAATGAGGATGAGGAATAGAATGGGAGCGAGTACTGTGTCTTATTGAACAGAGCTTTTTACCGTGGCTGCCTGGGACTTTACTCTGTTTATGATTACTCTTTGTGTTCTATTTGTCAGGAAGTTATAGATCCATCTACCAACTTTTCCTGTTATTCCTTTATCACACATTTTGCAAAGTCTGTGTATACTACATCTGTACTTTGTTTATCCACTACAGCATCCAAGACCTTGTCATAGTGGTCCAGTAGCTGGGACAGGCAGGAGCGACCTGCTCTAAACCCGTGTTGCCCTGGGTTGTGTAATTGATGAGTATCTAGGTGATTGGCGATCTTGCTTCTTAGACCCCTCTCAAAGATTTTTATGATATGGAATGCTAGTGTTATCAGTCTGTAGTTCTTTAATTGCTTTACTGCCACCTTTGTGGAGTGGGGCTATGTCTGTTGTTTTTAGTGTGTGTGGGATGACCCCTGTGTCCATGCTCCCTCCATAAAATGCTGAAGGCACGCGATAGGGGCTTCTTGCAGTTCTTGATAAACACGGGATTCCATGAGTCTGGGCCTGGGGCAGAGTGCATGGGCATGTCATTTATTGCCTCTTCAAAGTCTTGTGGAGTTAGGATAATATCCGAGATTTTTGGGATGACCAAATTTTGGGCTACGTTCATTAAGAATTCGTTTGGGTTGTTGACCCTTGGTCTGGGCAGTGGCTCGCTGAACACTGAGTCATAGTGGGACTTTAGTATCTCACTCATTTCTTGGCTGTCATCTGTGTATGTCCCATCCCGCCTAAGCAGGGGCCCAATACTGGATGTTGTTTTTTCCTTAGATTTCGCATAAGAGAAGAAGTATTTTTTTTTTCAATTTCCTTTATGGCTTTTAGTTCTTCCTGTCATTCTTGTCTCCTGTAAGATTCCTTCAGCTTAAGTTCGATATTTGCAATTTCATTGGCTAGTGCCTCCCTTCGCATTTTCGATATATTTGTCCCACTCAGCAGCTCTGTGACTCTTTGCCTTCGTCTGTAAAGGAAGTGGCTCTCTCTTTCTAGTTTACATCTTCTCTTTCTTTTTCTTATTGGAATGTGTCTTGAGCAGATATCAAGAACCACAGAATTCATTTTTTTCAAAGCAAATGTTCGGATCCGAGTTGTTTAGAATATCTTCCCAGCTTGTTTCATTTAGGACATGATTTACTTGATACCATTGTATGTTTTGTTATTGAAGTTGAATTTCGTGAAGAGACCTTCATGACTGCTCATATTTTGCTGGTCAGAAGCCCTGTGCATACATGTCTTTACCTCCATTATGTTGTGATCTGAGTATATTGTCTTTGATACAGTTATATCACATATCAGATCGTCGTTGTTAGTGAAGATGAGGTCCAGCGCATTTTCTAGCCTTGTAGGCTCTACTATTTGCTGGTTTGAGGTGAATTTGGTGCAGAGATTTAGTAGTTCGTGTGTGTGTGAATTTTCATCTGAGCTGCCTCCTGGGGTGATCTCTGCTAAAACATTGTTTTCTGTGCTCCTCCATTTTAGGTGTCTCAAGTTGAAATCTCGTAGTAGTAAGATGTTTGGAGCAGGAGATGGGAGATTTTCTAGACAGCGGTCACGAGCTGCTCCTGGAATTGCTGGGAAGTTGCATCTGGAGGCTTGTATATTTGTTTTCAGTCTTTACCGCCAAAACTTCAACTACATCATTTGAGGTGCTTAGTAGTTCTGTGCAAATGAGCGACTCTGTGATGTACAGACCAACCACTCCCCCTCCTTGTTGCCTGTTTAGTCTGTCGCATCGGAATAGGTTGTAGCCTGGGATCCATATTTCGTTGTCATAATGATCCTTTATGTGGGTCTCTGTGAATGCTACAAACATTGCATTTACTCCGTGAGCAGTACCTTGATGTAAGGAATTTTGTTTTTTGACGGCTTTAGACCCTGTAAGTTTGCAAAGACAAATGTCGTAATATTGGTGGAATTTAGTGTGGTGATGCATGTAGCATGTTAGTATGGTGATACATGTAGCATATCATTGTGGTGATACATGTTGTATGGTGATATATGTTGTATGGTGATACATGTGGCATGTCAGTGTGGTGATACATGTAGCATGTCGGTGTGATGATACACGTAGTATGTCAGTGTGATGATATATGTAGCATGTCAGTGTGGTGATACATGCAGCATGTCGGTGTGATGATACATATAGCATGTCAGTGTGGTGATAAACATAGCATGTCAGTGTGGTGATACATGTAGCATGTCAGTGTGGTGATACATGGAACTTGTCAGTGTTATGATACATGTAGCATGTCTGTGGAGTTTTAACATACAAACAAGCAAAGCTAAAAATTGTGAACTGTCGATGACACTTAGCTTAATGACGACTCAACATTCCGCAGCTGCTTCCAGAACATTCCTGGAGCCGAAGATGCAACCGCACTTGGCCTGTTTAAATAAAATAGGTTGTATAAGTATAATTCCCCCTAGGGGGTGTTATGTCAGTATTTCATTGAATAACTGAATACTGACAAGGGCCTTATGCTCACTTGTGTTGGGCTCAAAAGCCCACAACTCACTGCCGACTATAGGATGATTTTGAACCCCTTATGACACAAGAACTGCGCAGTTCCCTGCATAACAAGTAAATTCTAAACCTATCTTGCTCTCTCAGCGTGAGTTTAGGTGTTGGATGCACCTTTCGACAGGTATCGTTGACTTTATTGAAGAATAGGTGTTTCGGTGCACTAGTCTATAAAGATAGTTCTCAATACACTCGGTACACTGTCTTCCAATTGTTTTAATTTCACAGTAATGTAACTGCAGGAAGCTGTGCACACTTCTCTGTAATATACCGCGAATGTGGATTGTCCTTTATGCACAAAAACGCGCAGATCAGTTTCCTTTGTTCGTTATCCCGGCGTTAATGTTTCTCCTGGCAGTGTTTAAAGCAGTCTGCCCCGTGGCGCCGTCCATCCGCTCTAGCTTGCCCTGATCTCCCGACACACAAAAGAAGCGCAGATCAAGCATGTTTCCCTTGCTTGCTAAACTTCCACCATGAAGCAATGCAGAATGCTTGATTCTTGCTTTTTGGGCATAGACATCAGTGTACACTATCTTTAACATGGTAATAAAGTGAGTGCAGGATTTTCTTAATTGTCCTGCCAAGGTAAAAGATCGATTTTCTCTCATTAATCCACACTGTTTGCAACACTGGTCTCTTGCAAAGACGTGGCGTGACCATGACACACGGTCATATGCTTTCAATTAGAAGTGTTATTGCAGAAGCAAGCAAGACGCCATTGCCCTTTCTGAGAGGGCTGAAAAGGGCTGAAAGGGCTGAAAGGGGCTGATACCCCCCTCCTGGAGAAAATTTCTCCACAATGTCAGTGTGGTGATACATACAGCATGTCACTGTGGTGATACATGTAAAATGTCAGTGTGGTGATAAATGTAGCATGCCAGTGTGGTGATACATGGAAGATGTCAGTGTGGTGGTATATGGGAGCTATCAGTGTGGTGATACATGGAACCTGGTGATAATGTAACTTGTCATTGTGGTGGTATATGGAAGCTGTCATTGCGTTGATGCAGGGAAGCTGTCAGTGTAGTGATACGTGGAAGCTGTCAATGTGGTGATACTTGGAAGCTGTCAGTATAGCGATACGTGGAAGCTGTCAGCCTGGTGATACAAGAATGCTGTCAGTATAGTGATACGTGAAAGCAGTCAGCATGGTGATACATGGAAGTTGTTAGTGTGGTGATACATGTTTACCTGGAGTTTTTCTGGAGAGAGTTCCGGGGGTCAACGCCCCCTGGCCAGGTCTGTGACCAGGCCTCATGGTGGATCAGGACCTGATCAACCAGGCTGTTACTGCTGGTCGCACACAATACAACGTACGAACCACAGCCCGGCCGGTCAGGTACTGACTAGATACTTGTCCAGTGCCTGCTTGAATACAGCCAGGAGTCTATCGGTAGTCCCCCTTAGGCATGCTGGGAGGCAGTTGAACAGTCTTGGGCCCTTGAAACATACTGTGTTGTCTCTTATCGTGCTAGTGGCACCCCTGCTTTTCACTGGGGGATGTTGAATCGTCTGCAGAGTCTTTTGCTTTCGCGGGGAGTGATTTTCGTGTGTAAGTTTGGTACTAATCCCTCTAGGATTTTCCAAGCGTATATAATCATGTATCTCTCCCGCCTGCATTCTAGCAGTACAGGTTTAGGAACTTCAAGCGCTCCCAGTAATTGAGGTATTTTATCTCAGTTATGCGCGCCGTGAAGGTTCTCTGTACATTTTCTAGGTCAGCAATTTCACCTACTTTGAAAGGTGCTGTTAGTGTGTAGCAATATTCCAGCCTAGATAGAATAAGCGAAGAGTGTCATCATGGGCTTGGCATCCCTAGTTTTGAAGGTTCTCATTATCCATCCTGTCATTTTTCTAGAAGATGCGATTAATATAATGTTATGGTCCTTGAGGTGAGATCTTCCGACATGATCACTCCCAGGTCTTTGACGTTAGTTTTACGCTCTATTGTGTGGTTGGAATTTGTTTTATACTCCGATGAATTTTAATTTCCTCACGTTTACCACATCGGAGTACTTGAAATTTCTCGTTATTGAACTTCATATTGTTTTCTGCAGCCCATTCAAAGATTTGGTTGATGTCCGCCTGGAGCCTTGCAGTGTCTGCAATGGAAGACACTGTCATGCAGATTCGGGTGTCATCTGCAAAGGAAGACACGGCACCGTGGCTTATATCCCTGTCTATGTCCGATATGAGGATGATGAACAAGATAGGAGCGAGTACTGTGCCTTGTGGAACAGAGCTTTTCACCGTAGCCGTCTCAGACTTTACTCTGTTGACTACTACTCTGTGTTCTGTTTGTAAGGAAATTACAGATCCATCTACCAACTTCTCCTGTTATTCCTTTATCACGCATTTTGTGCGCTATTACACCATGGTCACACTTGTTGAAGGCTTTTGTCGTAGTGGTCCAGTAGTTGAACCTCAATTATGTTGTGATCTGAGTATATTGTTTTTGATATGGTGACATTTCGTATCAGATCATCATTGTTAGTGAGAATGAGGTCCAGTGTATTCTCCAATCTAGTAGGCTCTATTATTTGTTGGTTTAAGGTGAATGCAGATGTGGGATTCATGATTAATTTGCATACTATATTTTTTTAATAAATTGCATATTATATTTATAAAATACTTTGTCATATGTAAATATTTTTTTTTCTTTCTGTTGGCAGTTGAGTCTGGAAGGTGTGGAGGTGAACTCTGTTGAAGTTTCAGGTAATAATGAACCGAACGTTCTTACAACTGGATGGAACATAAAAACCTTTAAGATCAAGAATGGTTTAGACTTTACACCGGAGCAAAAAATTAACTTGCCCATCAAACACCTGGATCACGTCCCCTTCAAGTACAAACTTCAGGTATTTTTGTGAGAATATTTTATTGGGTATCCACGAAGGGGAACACCTGTGGTGGTTGACGACATTTTTGTTTCCTTCCTGCAGGGTTTCAGTAATAACTTTAATACGCCTTTTCTGATTAGCTTAAAATATTTAGTATTGGAGTTTCTTGCTTAACGAGTTTGGATTTGTTATTGACTGTGTGGATTTTACTCTGCTATTTTTAGTGAAAAAAACTGATATTAGTTTTGGAGGAAGTGCTTAAATATTCCCTCATTACATCGACTTCAAACTTGTAAGGTCAAGATTTTTAGTGATATTTGTAGGCTGAAATTTACCAATGTAATTTGTAATTTTTTGAGTACCATATTACCATTGTGAAGCATCAACACATTAAAACAAAGCTGAAAATTTAACCAGGTGTTTATTCTGCTCTAAATCTACTCAGTGTAATAATTTATGCAATATCCTTTAGATGTTTAAGAGATAATTTTTATTAAGGACCTACAACAAATGTAAAAAAAAAAAATATTTCATTCAAACATTCATTAATATTTTTAGTTACAATGCTATTTTCTATAATATCTTCTGGCATAAACTCTCTTGGAGGAGTTTCACTAAGATCATTCTGTTGGTTTTTGTGATTTAATGGGAAGACAGAAGTTCTTACAAAAGTAATCCCCAGATATCACCCATAAAATGCACGGTAATATTTTTAAGAGCTCAAAAGGGGCATTTTTAAGTGGTTGCCTTTTTTTCTTTCCAGTTTCGTTGATAGCTTTAGTAAAGTTCATCCAGTAGGCTTCAGATTTTCAGTGTTGGTGTTATGTTACTAGAACAAGGATTATGAAACCATTGATTTATGCAGGAAGTTTAGATATTCAAGGTTTTAATTTCTTTGGGATAACCTGGAAAAGCTTCTTCTGTTTTGCCTCGCACTTTCTGCAGAAGTATCCTAGTTATTTGAGTGTGTTATTAGAGTATGGGTGCCAATATGTCCATTTGGTTTTTAAAACGGTGGAGTATTATTTCTCATAAAATGTCTTAATTAGGCTTCATTTAAATGAAAGACGATATATTATAAGTTTAGGCTGTATAGGTGCAAATCTGAAAATATCTGAACATAGTTAAGAGGATACAAACTCAAGGTGAGCCAGTCCTGAAACCAGTGAATCTGTGCCCTTTCGACTGTACCACGCTGGCATAAGAGATTCACGCAACTAAGTGTATTTCTATATATCATAGGTAATTATGGGCCTCACTGTGAACACAGTGCACTTTTTTTTTTTCAAACGAATCTCACACTTTCATGACTATGTCGTGCTCTAGCACATGTCCCTTCAAAGTCATTACGAATAACTTACGAAATCGTAATGAAATTGTAAAAAGCTCACAGAACAGAGATGTGGCTTCAAACTTTGACCATTAGTGTATCTTAAGATAGAGAAAGGTTCATTTAGTTATTTGGCTGTCTGCATGTATCTGACACTTTCAAACATGAAAAAAAATTTAATGTCAATCTTAATGAATTTGTAGTGGTTGTTAATGACTATGTCTCACCTGCAGGTCAAAGATTTGCTTGTAAATTACCAAAGCCCTCATGTAGGCAATAGACAAGGTAATTTAATGTTATACTGTGTCACTTTCAGGTAACCAACCACAATATTGCTACGAAGATTGTTACAGTGAGAATTTTCCTGGCTCCCAAAAAGAACGTGCTAGGAGAGGACATGAACTTCATGGAGCAGCGTCTACTGTGGGCTGAGATGGACAAGTTCACTAAAGAATGTAAATTATGCCACACTTTCTTAACTATTAATATTACTTGTTCATTACTGATTAAAACTTTATTTACAAGCTAAGAGCTGTTACCTACATCAGCTCATTTGAAAGCCTTTTTATTGTTATGAAACATACAAATATGGAACATGATGAAGTTGGAGCCTCTGTGGGTCAGCAATTTCGTTTGATCAACTGACTTTATTTCGTTAATATTATGCTGTACGAACATGTTCCAGCCTTGAGTCATCCTAGGAATAAATGATCTCAGATGAAGTAATGGTCTGGAGAAGGGTACAGGGTGAAGTTGCTGCTTGCTGCCCATCTTGTTGTGTAGAAGCTCACTTCTTGCTGTCCTCGAAGTGGAGCCAAGTGTAGTTCTTTGACAGTGTTGGCCTTGTACAGAAAAGCAAGGCCACCCACATCCCTCCGGGGTTGAAGGCTCTGCTAAAATGATAGATCTATCCAGGCGAGAGATTAGTTGTTTTGTTCTGTTCTCTATTCTGTCAAGAAGTAGCAGATGAGACGGAGAGCAGGCAGTCCAAGAAAATGGAGCATACTCAAGGTGTGAGCATACTTGTGCCTCATACAGAATCTTGCAACCTCTGCTATCGAGTAGATGCAAGATATGTCGAAGTGCTGCAAGCTTCCTAGCTGCCTTGTTTGCAAGATTTACGAGGTTCATGAGCAGTTTGAAGTCAAATTTCACCCCAAGGATATCAACTTCGTCCCTGGGTACCAACACTCTCCCATTCATTCTTATCACCGCTCCAGCATTAACATCACGGTGCCTAGACACCGTCATCCTTTGTGTTTTCTCGGGAGAAAATGTTACCTGCCACCGTTTACCCAGACTGATATAACTGTAAGCTGGTGACTGATGTAACTTAGAACAGCTGGCATTTCCTCTTATGGATAAGTAAATGTCAGAGTACAATCTTCATCATATGGATGGGATTCTGGAATGAGATGAAGGTCATTGAAGTAGACATTTCATAACAATAGCCCAAGCATACTTTCCCATGGTACACTTGCACCGATAGTATATCTTATTGACTGTCCCATTGAGAACTACGCTTAGATATCTACCTTGAAGGTAATCACCGAGGAGACATAGTGTTGAGCCTACAATTCTCAGTGCTTGCAGTTTTGCCAAGAGTCCCTGGTGTCATGTTCGGTCGAAACCACCAGCAATGTCCAGTGCTACTACACAGCCGACTCGGTATTCATCCAGTGTCTAGTGCCACTTAGTGGAGAGGTTTAAGAACAGATCAGTAGCAGAATAATTTATCTAAAGCCATATTAATGGTCACAAAGAAGTGAGTGGTTGTCGAAAAAAAACCTGTCATTTGCCGTGAGATTATTGTCTCAAGAATTTTGCCAGTGACTGAGAGTGACACTGGTCTGTAGTAGCTGATTTCCACTCTGCTCTTCTTTTTGTGAACAGGGACTACATTTACCTCTTTCCACAGAGAAGGCCATTTACACTGTGCTAGGCAGTGCTGATAGATGCGAGTTAGAGGTGTTGCTAGCCGGTCTGCACTACTCAGAAATTTTGGGCTCAATTTATCTGGGCCCACAGCCTTTTCTTGGTCCAGCAACTTAAGAAGAAGATACACATCCTGTCTTAATGTCACTACTTACAATTTTGACAGTTCTTGCGGCTGACCAGGGAAGGGTCTCTTGCTGGATCAGGAATTTGCATGTTGGCAGAAAGTGTTCGGCAAAGAGGTCAGCTTTCCCCTGACTGCTAGTAGAGATGGTCCCACCCTGTAGATCTAGAGGTGCAGTAAGTTCATCAGACAAATAACCTTGTTGGTCTTTGACCAAGGACCACCAGGTTTTGACGCCCACCTCATGCCAGCTTTATTTTTGTCACCCTCCCATTTAGAGATGGCCCATTTTTTGAACTTCTCCCATTTATCTACAGCTTTGTCTAGGCAGGTTCCTGATATAGATAGTGGGATGCCTCTTATACCTTCTCTAAGCCTTGTAGTTAGCAGTAGCAGCCTCTCTACAACGAAAGCCGAACCAAGGCTGATCTGTAGGCTTCGTCACATATCGCCGGTGAGGAAAGTATTCATGTTGGAGGTTAAGGATGTGTCCAGTTAAAGCATTCACTTGGATATCGACATCACCTTGGAGAAGAGCACTCCAATTGGAGATGGCGAACTCAGAACAAAGAGCTATCCAGTTTCCTCTTTCCCACAGCCAGATTGGGAGGTTATTGTCTATCAACCTACTACCTAGGATAATATATATATTATATTTTTATATATATATATATATATATATATATATATATATATATATATATATATATATATATATATATATATATATATATATATATATATATATATATATATATATATATATATATATATAAGTAGTATACTTTTCTACAGGGGGAGGAACTTCCGGTTGGGCCTTTCCCTGGGCGAGGAACTTCCGGTTTGGGCCTTCCACAGAGCGAGGAACTTCCGGTTGGGCCTTCCACTGAGCGAGGTATCCGGTCTAGGACCAGCAGCTGGAGGGTCACCTTTTCACACCTAGGTGTTACTTCCGGTTTTGACCTTGACCTCGCCCTCGAGACTACCTCACCCTTGACCCCCCCAACCAGTACCCCCGCCCCACGACCCCCCCTTCGCGACCCCCGCCCCGCGCGCCCGCGCGCCCGCGCGCCCGCCCGCGCGCCCGCCCGCGCGCCCGCCCGCGCGCCCCGCCCCGCCCGCGCGCCCGCCCGCGCCCTTCGCGAGCCCCGCCCGCGCCTTCTGCTGCGCCTTCTGCAGCGTCGTCCGGATCGCCCCCGCGCCTCGAATTTTTTTCCGATTTTTTTCGAATTTTTTTTGAATTTCATTTTCTTGTGCTCTCCATCTCCTCGGATCAAGTTTTTAAGGTTCCCCCTCTCACTTTCACCCCCATCCCAAAATTTCTCGATATTACCAAGTTTTTGGATTCCCCCCTATGGGGGTTTCGAAATTCTCCATCTCCTTGGATCAAGGTTTTTTTTGGATTGTCCCTCCTTCCACCCCCAATCCCAAAAATTTCTCAATATTACCAAGTTTTTGGATTCCCCCCTATGGGGTTTTCGAAATTCTCCAATTCCTTGGATCAAATTTTTGGGTACCCCTCCTTTCACCCCAAATTTTCTCGATAATACCAAGACTCCATCTCCTCAGATCAAATTTTTGAGGTTCCCCCTCCCACTTTCACCCCCCCAATCCCAAAAATTTCTCGATAATACAAGTTTTTGGATTCCCCCCCCCCTATGGGGGTTTTGAATTTCTTATGATCACCTTGGATCAAATTTTTGGATTACCCCTCCCTCTTTCACGCCCACCCAAAATTTCTCGATCAATACCCCAAGTTTTGGATTCCCTCCTATGGGGTTTTCGAATTTCGCATCTCCTTGGATCACAGGTTTTTTTGGATTGCATCCGTACCACCCTTCCATCCCCAATAAATTTCTCAATATTACACAAGTTTTTGCATTCCCCCTCTGGGTTTTTTTTTCGTAATTCTCATCTCCTCGGATCAAATTTTTGCCGGTCCCTCTCACTTTCACCCCATCCCAAAAATTTCTCAATATGTTACCATGGTTTTGGATTCCTCTATGGGGTTTTCGAATTCTCCATCGCCTTGGAGCATGTTTTTGGTTGCCCCTCCTTCCACCCCCCATCCTCACAAAAAAATTTCTCAATATTACCCAAGTTATGCTTCCCCCCTCTGGGTTTTTGTTTCGATAAAATTCTCCTTCTCCTCGGATCCAAATTTTTCCCCCCCAGACCCCCCCCCCCCCCCCGCCGTTCCCCCTCTCACTTTCACCCCCATCCCAAAATTCTCAATAATTACAAGTTTTTGGATTCCCCCCTATGGGGGTTTCGAAATTCTCCATCTCCTCGGATCAAGTTTTTTGGATTCCCCCCTATGGGGGTTTTCGAAATCTTATGATCTCCCTCGGATCCCCATCCCATTTCACCCCCACCCCAAATTCATCGATCATTACCAAGTTTTGCGATTCCCCTATGGGGTTTCGAAAGTCTCCTCGGATCACGTTTTTTGGATTCCCCCCTATGGGGTTTTCGAAAATCCTCGGATCAAGTTTTGGAATCCCCCCTCTGGCGCTATAAGCATTCAATTCGAACTCCTCCTATGGGGGCATGCTTACTTACAGGTCTAAAATCTTCCCCTTATTATTTTATAAAAATGAACTAAAACTCTTTCCCCCTCTCATTAAGTTAAATGATAACTAAAAGTTTCTCTCTTAGTTAAATGACAAAAAAAGCGTGTTTACTCGGCGGTCCAGTGACGTCACACATCAAGCTAAATCTTGTCGACTTACCCCTATGTCACGTGACGTCTCGACACAGCTGAATCATGACGTACCTTTAGTGCATTAAAGTTATAAGGGGAAATAGTACCTAAATCATTAGGGAAAACATTTTCTTCATCTGAAAGTCACAATATTTTTGTTCGTTAATACCCACAACAATCCAACAATTCATTTACAACACAAGTCTAGACGTTTTTTTTACTATTTCATTACTGGTCACTCCTCCCCACGATGTAACCTCCTCCCCACCTCCCGACACCTCACACTCCAACCAACACCTCACAATTTTCACTCATAACCCCCAATTTTTTCTCGTGTGTAACCCTTGTTAGTTCATCTAAAAGTTAATAAGGGGATACTGTACATCAGAAAGTCACCAAACACTTATAACCACTTTTCGATGTAAATTCACTTGTCACAATTGTACATTATTACGAAGATTAAATACGCTGCTTTTAATTTGAACGACCTTCAAAACACTCTCTTTAATCATTTGAATACTCACAATAAATACCTTTATACATTGCCTAACAACACTGTACATTTCTCCAATAACATTCATACCGAACACCCCAAATCACCTCTGAATACTCCAGAACACCTTCATAAGTACACTTGCACATCATTTTCGAACACCTACATAAGTATCTCATCTAATCATTTTGTACACCTT